TCCTCGCTTTCTTTTCTCTTCTCTGCCTGTGTTCTGTATGCCCTCCCCTATCTACTCTCTGCTGCTTTTTCCCCTTTTCCCTTCTGATCCATCCCCAGCCTCTTTCTTTCTCTCACCTGTATGCCTTATATCGAGAATCCTTGAATAAGTTCTGGTTCTTAATCAGTGTGCTGCACATTCAGTGTGGGTATGGAGAAAGAGGCCCTTTAAATAGCCTTTGAAGAGGCCAGGAAAGCAATGGTCACCAAGTTAGATGACCCGAAAGCTTTAATTTTCGTGATCTAGATAGTTGGCCTATTTCATGTTCTGATGGTAGTTCATATTCATTTAGGTTAAATCTGTCAGCAAGTGTTGGGTCCAATGTACCTGGTGGGATAAATGATGCTTGTAGCCCAGCCAAGGTGCTGACAAGAAGTCAGAAGCACAAGTGACAGCAAGTTAACTGACTATACAAAGAAGTGTATGGTGTGTATGAGTGGTATAAACATGACGTAGAAGATAAAGGAGAGCAATTTAAAGGAAGGCAGTACACCCTAAGTGGGACTAAATGGAGCTTTAAAGAGTGAACATGACAACACTCTCAGAGATGGTTGTTGAAGTGGTAGGATTATGGTCGATAGTTTTTCTTCTTCCTATCTTCTTGCCCTTTTCAAATTTTCTATAACAGTCTTGTTATTCTTCTTACATCGGAAAATAAATTGTTTTGAAAGCTAACAAGTAGGCTTGAATTTGGGTGTCAAATGAGACATTTATGAAAGTATAAAGTCATTTTACATTTATAGCTTAAGTTGAGTTTAACATTGCCTCTGGAGAGACAGTGTAAGCAAATGTGCAAAAAATCCAGAATGTGAAAAATGTGTTTGGTAAGAGTGACAGGTTAGTGTAAAAGGAACCCACCAACCAACTCACTAATTCGCCATGGTGTTTTTATTTTAATAACAGATACGTGAAAATAAATATATAAGGATCAAAGTTTGTATGTATCACCATATTGTTAAATTTCAGGTATTGGGGAAATATTTTAGATTAGAAATATTTACTTGCTGTCCCTTGCAGTACAAACTTTCTAGGCTTTACAGAGTGAGAGGAAGACCTCAGAGTACAGAAATAGTACATCTTATACTTATGTAAAGAAGGTGTTTTATGAATCCATTGCTTTATTATTTTTCTGTAGCTATAGTTGAAGGTATTCCTGAAACGTCATTGTACAGTGAAATATATATATATATATATATGTACATATATATGCATACACACACCTACCTATGTATATGTGTGTCTCAGCATTGAGAACTAGGAAATAGAGGATAGGAATAATAAACAGAAGGGGAATCCACCAGCAGTAAAAGGATTCTCTAGTACAGACAAAACATTTTGGATAATCGTTCTGTTTTCCTCAGTATGTTTACTTCAGACTGTCCCAGGGATACTTTACCTCCTTTGAAGGGAGGCCCATCATAAATAGATATCCCTGTGAGTCTGAAGAATATGGAGAGGCCATAGCCAGGCTTCACCATTAGAATAGTACTTAATCACACCCCTGCTCCTACCACTCTACCTCATCCCAGCTCTAGCATACTGCATCATTAACTTCCATGTTCGCCATTTGCATCAGTCTATCCAAGGCCTCGGTTGTCTAAATGGGATTATTAACAAGGGAAGGATAACGCATGTGATTATGTTCTGTGATACTTGTTTGTCAGACAGGGACTGGGAGGGGTGGGATTTTGCATAGATAAGAATAATATGAATAGGAGAGGAGGGATTTTAGTGAATGGAAAGTTTAATCTGTGTAGCTGTTTGTTGGATGAGTGGGGGAAGGCAGATAATGGAGCTCAAAAGGGGAAGAAAGATTGAAAACTTAACTCATCTTTACCGGTGTTTCCTGTCTGCACAAACTCCCTGGTTCATGTCCTGTCAGCCTGTGGTTTTGAACCCACCCTGCTTCTTCCAGCAACACTCACCTGTGTTAGTCTATCCGCTCCAGTAATGGAGCTATTACTTTGTTACCTATTTACCCTGACATCATACAAATGTCCCACCAGAACCCCTGGCTATGTATACTTGGTTTCAGCAGCCTTTTATCATTTGCACTTCTCTGGCTCACTTGGTTTCCTACTGGAAGCATGTCAAGCTGTCAACTAACTTCAGAGGCTACACTAGTACTCTGCCCTCTGAAACATTCTTTAACCTTACCACAATAAAAGGATTCTCTAGTTCCATACATAATGCTTTGAAAGGTGACCCATCATCGATAAATACTCATGTGAGTCTTGAATTTGTGTTAAATAGTACTGTGGAAAGACTGGAGTGTTGCCCATCCTTACCAGAAGCCATGCTCTAGCATGAAAACAGGTACTACCAATAAAGAAAACAAAGAGTCCTCCCACTGGCTTTCCTCTGAGATTAACATGAATCTTGCAAATGTTTCCCTTTAACGTGCCACAGTTAGCATGTAGGTACTTGTCATGGCATTCCTTGAAGATTGAAATTGATTAATTGGCCTCCCTCTTCTCCTATTCTCATTACTCAATGCGCACTTCTTAATATCACCCAATAGCTCTAGACAACTTCATCAGGTAATGTCTCTGCTCACAGATTTGCTATTACCCTCTTATGGCCACAAAATGTTACTCAAATTCTTTAGCATGATCCTCAAGCCCTGTGTTGTGTGGTGTACCTTCTGCTATACATTCATCTTCCAGCAAGCCAAACACAAGCTTCTACTCCACCCACAATGAGCTCCTTTTCAATTTCTGAATGCACCTTAAGATTTTTGGCCTCTGCCTTTGCTAGTCCACTTCTGGAATGTTCTCCTTAATCATCTTTCCTTTGGTTCAAATGCCAACTTATTTCTGAAAATTCCTCTAACCTGGGAAGGCATGAAATTTTTCTTTGAACATTTAAGCCTTGTGTCATTTATAAGACTTGTGTCAGAAACTTTCTGATCCTGCTTTCCCTATTAGAAAGCTCCAGATTGATATTCAACTGCCTACTTAACATTTACACTTATATGTCTCGCAGACGTTTCAAGTAAATCATGCTAAAAATAAGCAGCAACATACCCCAGGATTTTTCCTCCCCCACAGTTTTCTTCATGTTAGAAAATGGCACTTCCTGCCACCCAGTTGCTTAAGCTAGAAACCTGGAAGTCATCCTTAATTCCTCATCTCGTTCCCTACATCCAGTCTGTCTGTTGTTTCTATTTCCAAAGCATAATCTTGACTCTACTAGCTTTTACCACAACCTTAGTCTAAACTCACATCGTTCCTTTGCTTGGATCACAATGAGACCTTGGATCCTCTCTTGTGCTCACAATTGTCTTATCACTAGATGTAGTGTTTTTAAAAAATAAAATACAAGTCAAATCATGTGACTCTGCTTAAAGGCAATAACCCACTTTCATTTCATTTAGAGTAAAACTTAGCCCTGTTACAATGTCCTACAAGACCCCTGCCTACCTCTTAATTTGTCTCAGTGATCTTTCATCATTTACCACTTCACATAAGCACCCCCATGTACACTTGGCTTCTGGCTGAAACATATCAAGCTCCCACTTAAGCTCAGAGCCCTCACCTAGATTGTGCCTTCTCCCATTCTGTCTTGCTAGAACGCTGTGTTTCCAGTCTTGGCATGGTTCACTCTTCTGGCTTCTCTCTTCCTCCTAGATAAGCCTTGTGTTTTTCTCTATTTCTATCATATTAGCTTCCCACAGTTTCCTTGTTTTGTTTCTAGTTCATTACAAGGTTATATACCTGCGTATTTTCATTCATTCAACAAATATTCATTGGGCACCTACTATGTGCTGAGTGATACCCAGTGGTGAATATAACACACATTGTTCTTATATAGCTGTTTTAATAAGTTCATTAAGGTCATGCTTGGTTTGCTAACCGCTGTATCCTACTGCTTATCATAGTACCTGGGATATAGTAAATAAGCAATAAATGATTCTTAATGGTTTAATGATGGAATTGTGTTTTGTTCATATCTCCATCACAGTGTTCTAAAACAATGTCCCATTCATTGAAGAGGGTACATAGGTCAGTATAAGGGAGGTAGATAAACGAAAGACTAATACAGTAGGCGCTGCAGGCTATAGGAGAGGGGCCCCTGTGAGTACCCTGGTGTTCCACTTTAGCAACTCTTCAATATGTGAAAGATACTGTGAAAGAGAAAGGGGAGATGGGTGTTCTTCACACAAATTATGTGAATAAATACTGAGAACTACAAAATGTAACCAGGAGACTGCCCTACAGACTAGATCTTGAGAGTAAGAACCAAACAGAAAAATATTTCTAAGAACTCTTCAGTCTTTTCAAGAGTGATTGATAGTGGTTCATTTCAGCTGTAACAATGAAGAGCTATTCACAGGTTAAGAACAGAGCAAGTTTCAAGAAAATGAGTTCCAGGTATGTGTTAGCTCAGTGCATATTGCATGAACACATGGGCACCCGGATGATGACCAGACCAGTTATCTTGTGACACCAGAATACAAGAGCATTTTTTTTTTGCCCATGGCTGATGCTTGCACATTGTCTGACCTAAGAATTTAGAGGAAGAGGCTGTGTTCTTCATTCCCAGGGGCAATTTCATGATAAAACATATTTCAGAACCATGTACTGTGAATTAAAGCCCCTTTCTAGAGCACTGCATTAGAAGTGAAACAGCAGTCTTCTCAAGAATTCTCCGTGTAAGGTCAGGTTAAGGCAAGTATGATTTCCCCTAGAGACAGGCATATTCCATGAGGACACCCTCCCTCATGGTTTATATCAGGAACCATGTGCTTGGATTCTAAAGTCACCATGGACTGAAGAGATGGCTCAGTGGTTCAGAGAGCTTGCTGCTCCTGCAGAGGTTCAGTTCCCAGTAAGTATACTGGGGAGTTTACAATAGTCTGAAGCGTCAGTTCCAGTGGATCTGAACCCTCTTGTGGCTGCACAGACACCTGCATGTACATGTGATAGCATGCATATACATGACACTAAAATAAATCTTTTTAAAAATCAGGGTGGCCGGGCGGTGGTGGCGCACGCCTTTAATCCCAGCACTCGGGAGACAGAGGCAGGCGGTTCTCTTTGAGTTTAAGGCCAGCCTGGTCTCCAGCACGAGTGCCAGGATAGGCTCCAAAGCTACACAGAGAAACCGTCTCAAAAAACCAATAAAATAAAATAAAATAAAAGTCAGGGTGTCATTGTTTGTAAACTCAGCATTCAAGAGTCTGGAGCATGAAGATCCAGAGTCAAGGCCAGTGTTGGCTACACAGTGAGAACATGTCTCCAAGTCAAGACACGGGTTTGGATAATAAACTAAATAATTGTAAGAAGTGACCCGAAAGTCTTGGGCATACAAAAATTAGCTCATAAGTGAGACACAAATAGCTGTTTATTTTATTTTTGTCTTGAATATTGAGGTATGGTTTTGTGCATGCTAACTATACATGGTACTAGTGAACTATAACCCCCATTTTGAAATGGAAAATAAAATCTGAAAACGAAATTTGTGTTACTTGGCATTTTGGTGTGACCTGCCATAAACCCCTAACCTACTTTTCAGTACTGTAGTACAAATGTTTTGGTTGCTTTCTACATTCCAAACACATTTCACACATTTGCCTATTGTGTCCTGAAAGAATGAGGAAAAGGTGCCCAACTCCCCAAGTGTACTCATCCAGACGGGCCCTGAAATCCTAAAGAATTGGAAGGGACAGTATGAGGAGAGCATTTTTCAGTAATTGGGAGTAGTATAAACAATCACATTATGGAAGCAGAAATATAGGAAGACAAAGGTTAAGCACAAGGGTTAAAGTGAATATCCAGCTTGAAGTATAAAGAACTTGAGGAGGCTCTGAATTAGAAAAGTGGCTCTTGGAAACTAAACAATCCCTAAGTTTCAGGAAGTTAGCCCCAGTCTGCTGTGCCCTTGGACAGAGGTCTTCTCTAGCAGTGGGACCTAGTAAACGATTTGTTTTCTTCCATCCCAGATTCTTACAGCTGAAGTAAAGGCGCGATCCCTGTTGCTTTCTCTCCCCGATTACTCTGTTGATAGATCTTACAAATAGAAACTTCTCCAAGATCTTCAGGCAATTTAAATGTCGGGAAAGAATCTTGAAAAGTTTTGACCTGGAAAACACAACTACCTGTCTAAATTAAATTCAGATCCATGGTAGAAAATGCACTTGGGTGGCCCAGTGACATGGCTTAGTGGCACTTGCCACTAATCCTAATAACTTGTTCAATTCCCAGAACCTACATGACCTGGGGGAGGGGGCGAGAATAAACTGCAATAATACATTTTTAAAAAGAAAATGCACTTTGAGGACTAAGATGTAACCAAGTTAAGTGCTTGTCGCCATGGCATGCAGCAAAGGCCTTCATTGATTCCCAGCCCCATATAAAACAGACAACATGTTAATTGGTTTAATTTAGCCATGCCATTGTGAACATACTGTATTATGTATCATAATTGTGCATGACTTTATTTATGAGCTAAATAAATGAATGGAAAAAAAACAGACATGGAAGCACCTAACATTCTTTGACCCAAACACTTGGAAGGCAGAGGCACAATGGTGTGTGTATGCCTGTATGTATGTACGTATGTATGTATGTATGTATGTATGTGCATGCATGCGTGGTGTGGATGTGTGTGTGTGTGTGTGTGTGTGTGTGTGTGTGTGTGTGTGTGTGTGTGTGTGTGGTTTATTTGTCCCCAAGAAGCACTGATACAGATACAGCCTTTTAGGTCACCAGCATGCTTAGATATGAGTTAACCATTTTGAAAGTACTATATGCCAAGACTGTGATAAAATGCAGGATTATCCCTATTTTTACAGACAAGAAAACCAAGTGTAGAGAATTGACATGGCTTTTCCAAAATGTTAAGGAAAAATCTAAATCTAGGTTTGCCCGACTCCAGAAACCTAGCTATTTGGCAGATAACCAACCAGTCTGTTCTTTCTCCTTTCAGTAAGAAAATGCTAAAAGGCAGCCCACACTGATAGGAGTGGTCCCAAATCACACAATGTTTAACTGCCCTTATGATCGGAAATCGTTCGCTTGTGTAATATCTCTCCTAACAACCTGGAAATTCATTTCCTCTTGACTGGGTTTTTCACTCAGGCTGTTCCTTGGCAGCTTCCCTGATATCAAAACAGTCACTGGGATCCTATTCCTACACTCCGGGAGGTCTTGGGCTTGTTGGCCTCAGCCTAGAGTGTTCTCTCTGGCTTCTTTGAACCACCCCCTTCCCAGACTGTGCTGAGTTGGGCATGTCTCAGGGAGTGAAAAAGTGACACTTGAGAACATGCTGGTTTATTATTACACAAAGAAGAGTAAAATTAACTACACGAGATGTCCTGGAATGCCAGCGGGATGATCGCACCCCTTTGCTTAGCCTGTCTGCCGTTTTCTTTTTTCTCTGCTGTCCTCATCTCTGAAGCTGCTGAATCATCAATTTGAAGGATGCATGCATTATTCAAAAAAAAAAAAAAAAAAAAAAACCTCCCGCTCCCCAGTGTTGGAGTTTGGTTTGGTTTTTAATTGAACTCTTCTGGCACCTTTCAGGGCTAAACCAAAAAACTCGTGCAGTTTCTGTTGTCGGAGGCTGATCTGTGACTGAAGGTGTTTCTCTTCCCAGAAAATGTACTTGATTTTTTTTGTTAAAACACATAGACCTTTGTATTTAAACCATAGTACATACTTTTGCCATTTCAACTCCATCTACCCTCAAGAAGGAGATCACAAAAATCGATCCCTTTTAATTCATGTCAGCAGTCCTACTGTGCACTCATGAACACTAAGATGTTTGCAAGTTTTGGTATCTTTATAACTGAATGGACTTGATTTTTAAACCAAGCTCTCGCTCCATGCCTTTAAATCAAGGCATTTGGATATTCACAGTATCATCAGATAATCCTCTGTGGGAGCTGCTACTCCTTTCTCTTTCATCCCACTGGGTAATTCCACAAGCAAACTCAGGCAAAGAAGTTACAAGGAGTATCTCCCTTTTCCACTGCCCTTTGTCTCCAGCATCTCTCACTGAACTCTTTCAAACATCTCAGAGTGATGATAAGTGTATATAGATAGTGTGCTTGCCACGCCCCTCGTTTGCCATGTAACGTCCCACCATGCTAACACCTATCTTTTTTTGAAGTATACCAATGTTCACAGTGTTATCTCTCTACAAGATCTTGAGTGTTTGCAGAGGTGACCTGTGAAGTGGTGAGAAGGTCATTCTGAAGAAACAGGACTTCGGGAGTGACAAGAAAGCACCAAGTTCTCCCCTAAAAAGGGCCGGAGGATGTTCCCATGAACAGTGTTTCCTGCTTTGTCAGTCCTGCTTTTCATCTCGAGCACTGCTCTTGTAACAGAATAATTGTGAGTGAGAGTTACGGTTCCCAGAAGTGTGGTCAGCTGCTGGTGGGAGAGGGCATGGCCAGATTGTAGTCTCTATATCATGGGTACCTGATAGCCACCTGCTAATCTTTTATCAGTGATCACACCACAGCATTCAATGAACTACTACTTAGGGCAGAAGAGAGAGATAACCTGCTGGACTTCCTGTTTGCAGTTCCTTTCTTTCTTGAGATAACAGTATTTCTCATCAAAGCCAGGGAGCCGCTTGGTTAGGGAGACCAGGCTGGGTGAGGGCCAGGCTTCAGCTGGCTGAGGAGGAAGATACACACTTCACAGTCTAACCTCTGTGGCCAAAGCAGGAAGCTACTACAGGCATGAAGAGATCCGAGGCTTACCCAAAGAGAGGGAGCAGTTGACCTTGCAGGGCTCGTTTACCCCCTCACACACTGTTTATACTCTAGTCCAGAACCAAGAGGCCCCAAGATACCTGGCTTGGCTCTGCTTCTGCAGACCCACAATTTCAGAAGAACTACCTAAAGGAAGGAGATAGGGGAGGGCAACCTGAGCCCAAGAGTCACTCCCTCTCCTGGAGCCCAGCAGAGGTCTGGTGAGAACAACTCTAAAGGGTAATAATGGATTACCTATACAGCCAAACCCCATTTCCTCCTCAGCATGGCTCTTGATTCTATTTCCCAAGCTCCCCTAGAAATTTCAGCTGGAAGAAATGGGATTGTTTTTTCAGTCACCCTTCTGCAACCTTTCCAAGCTCAAATAGTGTTGGGTCCTTATTTCTAATGGATTGGGATTTAAGAGAATTTATATAAATATTTTCCCCAGACACCTGTAATCTTAGGTCACCCCCACTCCACCATCTCTTGAGGGATGCTCTGATCTGCTTTGTTCTATAGTTATATGTACAGGACTTTTCTTTCCACCTTAGCTGTCAACTTCCTCCAGGCACAGACTGTACATTGTTCACCCTGTTACCCTCAGGGCCCTTCTTTGGCACATCTTACACAGAATAAGAGTTCAGGTAGTGTGTCCTGACTGACTGGCTGCCTCAGAGGCTAGACAACTGAGTGACTATTTGGCTGGATAAAGGGCTTAGAATGGGGCTTGCCTTTCCACTGAAAAAGCAGTTTTGATCTCCTCATCTCCATGAATGATCACATAGTAATGGGTCACTAGGGCCCCAAGAGGGGAAAACATGAGTCATGCTAGTATCAGAGGAAAGAAAGAGGCCCAAAACCTCACTCTTTGTACAAGGGTCAGTGCTGTGAGGTGGGGGCATTAACACAATGACCTTTACTATGTCCTCAGTCTATGGTTAATCTAAATTGCTTTATGATGGAAAGGCAGTGAGGGAGCTGGAAAATGTTCAGGACTCAGGAAATTTCTAGGAAGCTGTTCAGAGCAAGGCTTTCCTTGCAGAAAGCAATCAAGTGACCCATGCCTTTTTATCAGGTGTGTTGTGATTTTTCTAGCCAAGGATGAACTTTTAATTCCTTACATAGAAACTTTCTTGATTAAGAAAGGCTGTAGGGCTGGGTGTTGGTGGCTTATGCCTTTAATCCCAGCACTTGGGAGGCAGAGGCAGGTCAGCCTCGTCTACAGAGCTAGTTCCAGGACAGCAAAGGCTACACAAAGAAACCATGTCTTGAAAAAAATGAAAGAAAGTCTGTAAGAAGCACCAGACAGCCTCAGTGTAAAACACAGGACAGTTAGTTATTGGACTCACTTCCCTCATAAGCTCTTCTGGTCAGTGGCAAACAGAGCTGGATCCCTCAAATTTGAAGAACAATGCCCTCACATACCTTCTTGGATTAGAATCACAGATCCACATTCTATGGGAATAGTTGCCAAGTTTATATACAGATTCTGACACTCTGTAATGTTTGAGACTTTACTCACCACCTTGGCCCTCCATTTCATCTCCTGTGAGAAACCTACTTCACAGAGGTGAATAGAAGATGAAATTGCCTTGGCTGCCAGATGGTGGATAATCAGAGCCATACTCAGGAGTCATCAAGGTACAGTCATCAAACCTAACCCATCTCTCAGCCTCCAGTTGTCCACAGTCAAGCACTGGGAATTCTGGTACCAGACAAGAGATGACTTCTTACTGTGTAGTGGATCCTCCTCCTCCCCTGCCCTTCCCTCTAAATGGACTTGGATGCTGTCTTCAGTCCTGGGCTCCAAAGAAGGCTCACATCAGAAGTGCAAGGCTGGCATTTGTAATAGCCGGCACCTTTATGTTGATGTCCCCTAAGTTCAAGAGCCGGTTAAGGTGAACTGTAGGGCCCCATTATTGTTAGTATTGTGTCAATACCCTTATTACTAGACTTTATCTCCTGATGAAGTCAAATCATTGGTATCCAAAACTTCCCCAGAGTTGGAGGACTTAGAGCTGAGATGTTGGGTCTTAGATGACAGCCTGACACTCCCTCTGGTCAGACACCTAGCATGGTAGGGGCAGGCAGTAGTAGTGCTTGATGAAGTCCCACTAACCCAGATCATCTTCATGGGTGAACAGGGGAGCCTACATGGCTCATTGTTACTTTGCAGGTCCTAAGTAGATTTCTTTAGACTGCATGCGCACTCCTGGAAGGCTGTTCTTATTGGTTGTGAAAATTGTTGGATCAGCAGCATCTTATTTTCAAAGTCAAGAGACTGGGGCACTAATTCTATGTAGCCCTAGGAAAACTTTTACTTGGGTGGGTCTTCACTTTGCTATATGCCAAATGGAGATGATCGGGGTCAGGTTCAGCTTCCTCATGGTAGTGGGTTGGAGAATGGGAGGAATAAGCCCATAACCATTTAATTACCAACCCCAATTCTGTGATTTTCAAATAAAATATTTTTCTGAAAAAGAACAAGCCTTGGGCAAGACGAAGAACTTCATTTCTTTTGTGAGGGGTGCTGTCATATATTCTGTTTGTATTCACAAAATCTAGTATTTTCTGTTCACTCTTGTACACAGAAAGACAGGCTCCCACTTGCCCCTCCTAACCCAATTCCTTTCCATCACATGTACTCTGTCTTAGCCCCTTTTAATCGACAAAACAGTTGCTCAATCAACAAACATTTATTGATTATCTTGTGTGTGCCCAGCACTGTTACAATCTTGGGTATACATACAGACAGGTTTAAGATATGATAACTGCCCTCTAAGTAGTTACAGTGAACTTTTGAAATCACACATACACACACACACACACACACACACACACACGCACACACATACACACATGCACACATACACACACATGCACACACACACATGCACACACACACACACACACACACACACACACGAGAACTATCAAACTATCAATCAAAATTATGACTAGTAAGCATCAAGTGAGTTATATATTGGGTGTTGGAGGAGGGAGAGGTAAGAGCAGGAAGGAGTGGTCAGAGAAGGCTCAATGAAGGCGGTGATGCCGAGCTAGTTCTCCAAGCATGGGGATGACTTAGCTAAGAGGAAATGGCTGCCAGATTGGTAAAGCAGCTTGAACATAGGTAACATGGTGGAAATAGGAAAGGCATGTTAGAGGAAACCTCACTCATGGGCCTTCCTTGATGGTGCTGAGGTTTTGACGAGATGTGCTGGGTATCTTCTGAAGGTGGTGATATTAGGCTGGTGGGGAAAAGACGTCTCTTGTTTCTGATCCCCACCTGTCACAGACGAAATGGAGTAGTTTAAGACCTTGAAAGTGAAACTGTTTGGCTGAGAACCGTTCTCTGTTCTCCCAACTCAAGCACAATCCCAGGCAGCAGTTCAACTATCACTCAGATCATAGATGTTTCATGCTGGAGACCTTGCAGCCCTGCCAGAGAATCTTCTGATGGGCAATGACATGAGTATTAAAAATGACCAACAACTTATCTGGTGCTATGGTCTTTCAGAGGCTCTCAAGTGTTCCAAGTGTAGACCAACGGGCTGTTTTCCCATTAAGTCTGAAGTTGCTGGTGGGGCTGCCTCTGAAACAGTAGGAGCACGCATGACAACCATCATACGTGTCCACCCAGCTTCTTAGATCCGGAAGTTCTTACTCTTTCTTGGCCAGGGTTAAGTTATCTTTCTTAGTCCTCTACGGTTGGCATACTGAAGGGCAGTTCTAGAAAAACTGGTTTGTTGTTCCTAAGGAAACCTTTGTCTAGGGCTCCAAGTCGTGTGGTTTAGCCAGGAGGCTAGGTCAGACACCCCAGAGAGGGCAGAGGCTTCAGTGGTAGTTGTTAACTGCAGCTTCTTGGCAATTAATTCCTCAGTGGAGTCAAAGTGCTGCAGCCTTGTGCTTTCCTGCAACTATGCTTCCACAAGAGTATGGGAATCAGAGGAAGTGCCCTGAGTGTGATTCTGATGGTCTGGGGGGTCCCATGTTGCCTCCCATCCTATACCCAGTTGCTTTCTTCTGGATGCCATGAGATATCGTTCTTTCCGTTCATTCCAGACCAGTCTGGACATGCTGCATTAATAACAAAGGTGGGAGGGAGGCTTCGGGCCTGCTACTGATCAATCCATTTCTTTGGATGGAGGTTTGAGAAGGGAGCTAGAGCCATGCTCACAGAAGCCACCACTCCTTCTTCTGTCTGTCCCCCAGCAACTGAGTTAAGAGCCAACCTCAACCCGGGAAAAGGTCTTCTGGTCACAGATTGTCAGTGGGATGTGATTAGTGGGTTGGGGGCATGGATTTCCAGGTAAAGCAAAGGTCAGAAGAATGCCTCTGGGTTTAGCCAAAAGTAGCAGAGATGGGATTTGGAGTTTTAGTTTGAGCATTCAGGGTACAGGAGGTGCCTTGGTGAGGCAAGGTAAGGGAAGTAGAAAAGCTGGCTTGGTGAGTATCCTTGGCAATTCAACCTAGATGGTGTCTCACCAGTCCCCATCTTTGCCTTCCCTCCATCCAATGACCACAGTCAGTCTAGCCTCAGCAGCACCTTACACATGATTCAGTGGCAATGTCCCTTGCCTGTGACCCTCAGGGCATTGTCCACTACTTTTTTGTTGCTTTTTACAGTCCCAGTCACCACCCCACCCCATCCCCAGCTCTGGCCCTGGTTCTTCACACATACCCAGTCAGGCTGTAGGAGTTGAACTCACTCTTGGCTTTGAGCTGTTGACCAGGCCTTGGAGAGCTCCTAGTGGCAAGAGGCTGGGCCTGGTAGCCATCATAGTAGTTGGTACGATTTCCTCGAGGCGAGCAGGAAAAGCAGAGAATAACTCCAGCTACCAGGGAGAACAGGGATGAGATAATGCCCAAGTAAAGCGCCTCTCCAATCTCAAATTTCATGCTGTCTGGAACCAGTGGTGAGTAGAAGTCCCGAAGGATGCCATGAAGATTCCAGGCAACTGGGATAAAACCCAGGATGCCGCCAAGGATGAAGAAAACTCCACCCACTACAGCCACTCTGTCCTTAGCTCGAGATTCCTGGCAGAACACTGTGCATCTCATGCCCACCACAGAGATAATGCAGGCCAGTGAGGACATTGCACTGGATGTCACCATCATGGCCTGGGCAGCCTGGATGTCAGCAGGAAGTCCTAGAAGTGTACTGTAGATGTCACACTGGGTGATGCCTGTGCTGTGCGTAGCACACTCCATCCAGAGGCCCTTGGAAAAGCCAACCGCTGTCACAATGCTGGCACCAACATAAGAACTTGTTCGCCAGTTGGGAAGCAACATGGCAATCGATGTGCCTAAAAGCCCCAAAAGGCCTAGGATGTAGCCCACCAGTTGGACGCCAAGGGAGGCCATGGCAGACCTCTCAATAGAAGTCTCTTCGGAGCCCGTTCTCTTGTCTTTTGGCTGCTGCTCTTGTTTCTTGGATCCCAGCCTCTAATCCCTCATCTCACAGTGTCTCTGGCAAGCTGACTTCTTCCCTCCTTACAAGTATCTGTGGGTGGCCACAAGCAGGCTCAAGAAGGCATCTAGAAATCCTTAAAAAAAAAAAAAAACCATAAACCAGATTAAATATTGACCAGAAGCTTATGAGAAACCAGAAAACGCTGGATGCCTTTTGACCTTTGTTATCTTTAAAAATAACACATGAGAAAGAAAAAAAAAACTTTGGAAGTAGAGCCAAAATGTCATCACCTCCTGCGTAGGCACATGCTTTAGGTTGGCAGTCAGACAAAGAAAGGCAGGGGCCAGACAGGTGGCTGCTTTCCGAGAAGGTAGTGATGGCAATAGCAGTTGTGGTGTGTTAACTCTACTGCCGGTCTCCAAGGCCTGCTATTTAACATATTGCCAAGCAACCACACCACAGGGCCCCTCAATTGCAGACTGAGGCCAAACTCCAGGAGACTGGATCGTGCGGAACAAGTCTTAGAATGCGGCCTTGGACTCCAGTTTGTTAGAGGCTACTTGAATTGCCAAGTACTGGCTTACCCCAGAATCATTTTGCCTATGGCAATAATGGATTTCCAGGGCAAATCAGGGTGGGAAACAAAGCTTTCTGTCCACTCTCTGAGAGGTCACGTCTTTTAGCCTTGCTCAGATCCCTCCCTGCAAGGCAGAATAAGAGCCCCAAAAAGGTATAGCACACCGGGTATTTCCTGTCTCCTCTCCTAACAAATGATCCCATGACCAGCCTCTCAAATGACATGGGAGGACTCTAAAGAAAAACTGTTGAACTCCAGGTCCCAGGGGTCCTCAAGGTCCCTGGCTCGTCAGAGACAGTAGAAAAAGTGGAGGGGAGGGAATCTGCTCCAGTAGTAGAGGACTTTGCAAAAGGTAGGCAGACATTCAGTGATAGATGGGATTTTGCAGTGTTAGGCGATTTCGCCGTTTCCAAGGCTCCAGATTCAGAGGTCAAAGTAACACTCCTCCAGCACCTTCTGCAAGAATGTTCAGTCCACAAATTTTCAACCCAATACACCATTGCTACTCCATCTTCACCTTCCTCAATATTTTGTGTGTGTGTGGGGGGGAGGGCTGGAGAGATGATGGCTCAGTGGTTAAGAGCACTGGTTGCTCTTCCAGAGGACCTAGGTTCAATTCCCAGCACTTGTGTGGGGTCTCATAACTGCCAGTAACTCTAGCTCCATCTCGGATGCCCTCTTCTGGCCTCTGCCAGCACCTGGCACACAAGTGATGCACAGACATTCATACAGGCAAAACGCTCATATGCATAGAAAACAAATGTTTTAAAATTTCTCTTTCACATTGCTCAGGGATCCATTCTTTCCTGAATTAAAACTCTAGAAATTAACAAGCGCACCTACTCTATTACCTAATCTGTTCCCTATCCAAATCTAAATTTTCAGTGGAAACTCTCCTAACAATCAACACAGGCAATGGGATCTTCTAATAAAAAAATTCTGGGAGGAGGTGATTGAGACTTATCTCAGTGGGAGTATGGGAAAGTCTTATGACATCCCCATCTGACATTTTCAAAAGAACACAGCCCCTCTCCCTCTGTACCTCCTGATCAGTTCTTGCCTGGGTCCTATGTTGTCACCAAATGGTAATCCTCTCCATCTAGATCAATATCCCAGGAGTGATCCTTGTCACCCTGCTCCTGTTTAACCCTGCATCTTATAACTATGACGTTCCACCACTACTTCCTAATTCGGGGCTTCACCTGGGTAAACAATAGTTTTATAACTGGTCTTACTTCCAGTCTTGTCTAGCCCAATTCAGTCTCCTCATGGTGGTCATGATGATCTTTCAGCAGATGGATGGGAAGAGGTCATTTGAATGTGTGTCCACATGTGCCTACATGTAGGTGCGTGGACATGCGCACACAAACGTTCCCCAGGTTGGGCAGGGGTGCCACTGGAGGCATAAACCTGTGGATGTCAGATGTTGACTTCAGGTATCTTCCTAGATTTTTCTCCATCTTATCTTTCGAGGTCTTGATAATTTATTTTATCAAACACTCATGCATACATGTGTGTGCATGTGGAGGTCAGAGGCCAACTTGTGGGAGAGTTGGTTCCCTCCTGCCACCATGTGAGATCTGGTGATCAAATGCAGGTTGTTAGACTTGACAGCAAGGACCTTTCCTCACTGAACTCTATCGTCACCTTCTGCCTTTATTTTTATTTTGAGAGGTCTCTCACTGACCCTGAAGCTTGTTGTTTTCACTGGCATGTGAACCCTTGTGATCTGCTTCCTCCTCACCCACTCTGAGTGCACATGCCTCCACACCCAGGTTTACTTTTTACATTGTTCCTGGAGAGCTGAACTCAAGTCTTCATGTTTTCCCAAGTTACTACTCTTAAGACAATCCAATGGCCCACTGTTGACCAAAGGATAAAATCCACATTTGTTTGAACTCCATGACCCCCAAGATTCACCTGCTCATACTCCATAAGGTGACTGAACTAAATTGCTTTCGGCTCTCCAGTCATGTCATGTGGTGTTTTGCTCCCACGTCTGAGCACAGGCTGTACTGTAAGAAATGTTTTGAGGACTTAGCTTGGATAGCTTTCATTCTAGACATACTCCAGTGCCCTTCTTCTGTATTTTTCTAAATATTTTTTGATTTTTATGTGTATAAATATCTTGCCTGTGTGGAATGTCTGTGTGCCCATATGTGCAGGGCCCTCAGGTACCAAAAGAAGGAATTAGATGCCCTGGAACTAGAGTTATAGATGGTTATGAGCCAATATGTGGGTGCTGAGATTTGAACGTAGGTCCTCTGGAAGAGCATTCGTTGCTGTTCACCACTGAGCCATCTTTCCAGGACGGCTTTCTATATTCTTATAGTACCTTCTATTCATGTACTTCCATCATCACCACAACAACAACAATAATAGCAGCACATATACTGCTTATTGCTTCCTTTTGGTTGCTTTCTGTTTGTTTGGTTTCGAGACAACATTTCACTGTGTAGACCAGGCCTGCCTGGAACCCACTGTGTAGCTTGAACTAGCCTCACACTTGTGATCTTCCTGCCTCAGCCATCAAAGTGCTAAGAATGCAGGCAGCACCATTGTGCCAGGATGTATAGTGTTTCTCATTCTACAATTATAAGCACTTTTATCCATTAATTCATTTAATTATCAACTATTGCATGATAGATACAATAATACACTCTGCTGTATAATAAGTGAGAAGACTGAGGTTATGACATACTGTGTTATATTATAGTTTCCTGTTTAAACTCATTTTTTTTCTCTGCTGGTATGGGAGCTACTCGATGACATCAATGGTATCTTATGTCTGTATTTCATGCGCCTTACACAGTGCCTTACCCACCAAATAACTGTTTAAACATACCCTTTGCTAAAAAATGGAGACAGGGTCTTTCTATGTAGCCCTGGCTTGTCTGGTACTTGCTATGTAATCCAGGCTGCCTTTGAAATTCTACCTCTGTCTCCTAAATGCTAAGATTACAAGCATGTGCCAGCTCACCTAGCTTCAAATACATCTTAATGAAAGAATAAAAGCAGTTAACAGGTTTGAAGGGTCCAGGAGACTATGAGGAGTCAGTGAACATTGCAGAGAAAGGATTACCGGTGTTACACAGAGAATGAAAAGGATCAGAAGAAGAGGGGATAGCTAGAGGACAAGATGGAGAAATACATAGTTATACTTCCCCCTCTATCCATTTGTTGAATATCGTGCCTATTCAGTTGAAGGTGAAAACCATGCTAAACTTGTGTTGTGCTTTCACAGCCAGCATAAGACACATCATTGCTAGTCCTGTTCATCAGCACAGCCATGATGATGGTATCTATACAAAGCAATGCAAGTGCCAATGCACATTTAGCAAATTCTGCTGTTAACAGCTATGACAAGGGGCAAGTCCTTTCCTGGCACCTGTTTTCTTCTGCTACTCTGGTCACAGCTGTGTCTACCCATGTTTCAGATGTGTATGTCAGCAAGGCCTTCAGCAATCCTGCTCCTCCATTGTAAGCATCCTCCAGGTGAGTATTTTACATTTCCAACACTTTCTAAAGTTTGCTCCCCCATACTGCCTAATTATGCAGCTATTACTGTCAGTCTTGGCCTTTCTCTTTAAGGCCAATCTTCTTAACCCTTTTAATATTGATATCACCACTTCACCTTTGCACACATGTCTCAGCAGGAGCCTTGCTTCTGCCATTTGCCCTCCACTGAGAATGCTCTCACCAAAGTTAATCATTCCCTAGTCTAACGTCTAATATTCATGTATCTGCCACCTTGCCTTGCCTCTCTCCTTCCAAAAACTGACTTCTCCATTGTTCTTCATGGTGCTTCCAATGTTGCCCATTCCTCTGTGTCACTTTTTAAAGACAAAACTTCAAAATGTAGCTGGGGCTGACTTGGTACTCACTATGTAGCCCAGGATGGCTTTAAACTCCCAGCAAGCCCTCTTGCCTTGGTTTGATAATGGCTGTTACATCCACACCTGTCTCACAGACCTGTCTTTTGAACTCAAGGTTTGCATAGTAGACTGCATTTGAAATGAGCACCCATGAAGGTATTAATGTATTAACGACACCTCAGATTCAACACATATAAAGCTGAAGTCTCTGCCCTCTTCTCTTCCCATCCTCAAACCACTCCTCATACAGTGTGCCCTATCTCAGTATCCAGTATGCCCTATCTGCCATCCAGTAATCCAAGCCTGTAAGTGTTGATTCTTCAGTCTTTGTTTCCTCTTCTTCTTCTTCTTCTTCTTCTTCTTCTTCTTCTTCTTCTTCTTCTTCTTCTTCTTCTTCTTCTTCTTCTTCTTCTTCTTGAGATTGGGTTTTCAGATACAGCTCAGGCTGACCTTGAACTTGTAGCAACCCTTCTACTTAAGCCTCTGAATTCTGGGATTA